CCTGGTCCTTTCACATAACCAGAATGAAGGTATGGCTCGTGAAACATTTTCTTCAAGCCAAGTTTAACATTAGTGCACCTTAGGAATACTCATGAGGACATAAGGAATGAATGGCTGGGAACTACTTGCCTTTTCCGCCTTCTATGACAACTGTTGTCTATCTTGGACAAACTTCTCGAATTGTATCTTCTCAATATATCCTTGCGTTCGCCCATGAGGATAAAACTTTTGGGTCATCGTCTGGCTCTAAGAGTCTGGTTGCTATCGATCTCCTCAATATCATTCACTCCTCTTCAAATGGTGACTTGTCCTTCGACACTTAATATTATTGTCTGGGCAGGCGTAAAAATGCATGGATACGGACTACGGGGCTTGAGGTAGGTCGCATGTCACTCAATTTATCAGACAGTTGATTCCATGATGCTTCTAGCTCCTCGTGGTTCAACGAAAATCTACTCCATCGCTCCGGTTGGGCGAATTGACAGTCGAAACCTTTAGGTATCATATACCACGATGTCTCGTGAGTGACTCGCATGTTGTTCGTCAAACACATGCTGACTATCTTCCAATTTTATTTTGGCAGCTGTGAGAATGATTAATGAGGTACAATACAATGATCCTTCCAAGCGCGCTGCTCTGAATGATCATCATGATAGCCCCAGGGGCAGTTGTAGTTCCACAACTGTCATTCTACATGTAGATCACTTGCAAGGACCAAGTCGAATTCCATCCTCAATGTTAACGCCGATGCTTTCAATCGGCAAAGTACATGCCCGTGTGTGACACGTGTCATTCTTTCGGTGGCAATACGCATATCTACCCGTCCGTAGTGCTGGTTGAGGCCGAATGAGAGAAGAAGATTCGCATGCGTGCGGTTAATCCGGTGCTATATTCAGCCTAGCATACATCAGTTGGTCGGGAGTCATTGCCCCATGAGGCTTCTCCATCAGTCGATACAGCCTGAAACTCTGCTGCATCACGCGTCTCGAGAGAAGATATTCCAAGTAAAGCATTCTCAGTGCACGGTTCATCGATATGCGGTTAATTTGCCAAGGATTTGGTTTTGGTACGTGCCCTGGCTTCCTCCTTTCCCCCGTACCTATTTGGCACTCAGTTGAGAATAAACAACCCATCGAAGCGCCTTCAGCGTCTGATTATTATCAGTCCGAGTCCGATATAAGTACAGACTTCTCAAGCTGTTTTGGCTGCCGTCTTGTCAGGAAATAAACGGCGAACCCATCAGCTTCAGGGCTCTCTGCGCACAATGCAGATTTTGGTGTTCTATGTTCTTTCGCTTTGCACTGTCTTGGTTTCGTCCTCTCCGCAGGTTCAGCTCGATAGGACGACACTGGTAGGGAGTGACATTGCGGGGCTAAAGCTGGACTTCTTCGGAGGTGAGTCACTGTCTATGAGCTAATGATCTCTCACTCAGAGATTGCACAGGTATACCGTACGCTGAACCGCCCCTCGGGTCATTGCGTTTACGACCACCAGTGTTAAAATCACACCTCAACGCGGGATTATTCAACGCAAGCAGTTTTGGGTTGTCCTGTCTCCAACCGGTAAGCCTCTCGCCATCTGGGTGCACGTAGCTTGACCGATCCGTAGGGAGTGTCCAACAATCTTATTTCAGAAGACTGTTTGACTATTAATATCCTTCGTCCCAGTGGTGTTACCGGCAGATCTTCTTTGCCTGTTCTATTTTGGTAATCGTGCTCCATGCCCGCAAGGCTCTTAATTGATGGTGTTTGCCCGCAGGACGTACGGTGGGGGCTTTGATTCCGGTTCCGCATCCACATTCGACGGCAGCGCCATCGTTGCCCAAAGCGTGAGAAGAGTAAGGGCTGTCATTGAATATTGGCTTGTACATATCGCTGATGCACCGCGTATCTAGGGGACGCCCGTTATCTATGTCAATTTCAACTACCGTCTTGGGCCTCTCGGTTTCCCCCAAGGGGCAGAAGCTGCATCTCGGGGAATTCTCAATCTCGCGATCAGGGACCAGCTGGCGGCACTGGAGTGGGTACAGATAAATATTGGCGCCTTTGGCGGCGACAAGCACAAGGCATGTTGGAATATCATTATCCTCATGCATCATCGGATCAACAATGTAATAGGTGACTGTCTTTGGAGAGAGTGCGGGTTCCATCATGACGTCCATACTGTTCCTAAATCCATCCATATCCAAGTTCGCAAGAGCGGCAGTGCGTATGGCCAACGAAGATCCGAACCCATTCACTCATTAGCTGTAGATATTCGAGTCCGGGTCGGCGAGTTCCGCCGTCGCATTCAATGCTCAGCATCGAGAAGACTCCTGGACGAATTTCGTCCGGGGGATACCAAGCTGCAGCTCCTTTGTTGGGACATCGTCTACTGTAAACTGCTTACAGTCCGTGAACTCTTCGGATGTGCTTGCAGGGTTACTGCAGGCCTTAGCAGAAGCGACCGAACAGTTCCCATTTGACCCTACACTTGACGGCCCCCATGGTCTTTTCCCAGGTCTGCCTTCAGAATTATTTCCCCGAGGCCAGTTCGCCCGATTGCCTTTCATCGCCGGTACAAACTTGGACGAAGGTTCGATTGTCATAGTCATTGTTCCTCAGAAAAGCTGACCATCCGTCCAGGAACTTTGTTCTGTCCCACAGCGTTTAACTATACTAATGACCTCCTCAAAGAAATCGTGGACACAAACTTCTCGCCCCCGACAGTTCCTTCTAACATTCTGGATGAATTGTTAGCGCTGTATCCTGACGATCCCTCCGCTGGTTCTCCATACAACACTGGTAATGAGACGTTTGGCCTCTCGCCCCTCTTTAAGAAATGTGCCGCGTTGAGTTGGTCCGTTCTGTTGCCCGTTCTTCACCTGCTTAGCGTAACTCATAGCGGGCGACTTGGAGTTTGACTCCCAAAGACGTCACTGGATTCAAACCGCCTCAGAATCTGGCGTTAAAGCGTTTGGATACCGTTTTACGCAGCCTTCGCCTACTATCCCGGCTGCCCTTGGAGGTGGGTTTTGTTCAGTATTGTAATGCTACACTGACTTCTGAATTCCCCCAAAGTCAGCCATGGCAGCGAAATAGTATTCGTATACGGCGACCCGGAGACTCGCAATCAATCGGCTTCAGCAAATGCGCTGAGCATTGCAATGATTGACTACTGGGTGTCTTTTGCAACGAGTCTGGATCCTAATGATGGTCGTGGCTCACCTCGTACGTAGTCTGCGTCTAAGATAGCTTTATCGATCCTCAATATAGCATCTCTCAGGTCCGACATGGCCCCAGTATACACCTAAACGACAGGTAGCACTTGTATCCATGTCAAATAGTCGAGCTGTGCTGAAATAGTTTTCAGGTGCTACTGCAGCTAAATGGCAACAATCTAACTGTCATTCCCGACGATTACAATAAAGAGAAGATTGATTTTATCATTTCTGAAGGCTCAACCTTCCGTCATCGTCGTTGACAACTTTGTTACAAGTATATGTACATGTTCATGCAGTGCAACCGGTAGTATAAATATAGCCGAAGCGCTGAGTGATCTCTTGGCCTGTTTCAGCAGTGATTGCTAACAGTAAGTTCCCATCAAATAGACGCTTCATGGCTATGCCGGTCGTAAGGGCTACTGTTTCCTTCCCACCACTACGACTGACGCAAGCTCAAGTGTCACAATGGCGACTGCTCTTGCTGTACTTCTACTTTTACCTGCTCTGGCCATTTCGCTGGCTGTCACTGTACCCTTCACGGGCACTCTTGTACGGTTTAGAGCGAATTATACTCCCAAGAGTCGAATCGCACTTGACGAAGAAAATGCCGCCCCAACAGGTCCGGAAACTGTTTTTAGGTTTAGATTTTCTGGTCTGATTATTATGCAGGCTTCTTCTCATACACGTACCTGGGGATGGCGAGGCGGGTATACCGAATTGAGGTACAGAGCTGTCGCTTCCGTCTTCTGCACATTTTGATCATAAGTACATTAGGGTTGGAAAGGGTTCTTCAAGGGATACGGTAGGCATGTTCTCGAGCACTCGAGTACGTTGTTGATCACGAATTTTTAGCACCTCTATTTTTCAGCTTTCTCTGCATCTGCATTGGAGTGGCATTGTTCACAAAGTATCAACCTTTTGTTTGGCGAGGTGTTCCTCAGATTCCTCCGCTTGGCATCGTCGGGACTGCAATAACCATTTTATTTTCTATCATACTCGGTGTTCCGTATAGGGCCATCGTTCATCGGTATGCATTTCGCTTGCCGAAAATGCCGTGCTAATATCCTGCAATAGCTCCATGATCATGCCCTATGAATTGAGTATTTTCCACCCCATACAGTCTTGGAATGCTTTGCTTGTTCCGACGTTGTTTCCCTCCGGTCTCCTTTTAGCAACGGCGATTAACACAGTCGCCAGCGCCGTCGTATTTGGGCCCATCAGAAACCTCTTGTTCACCTGGGCCAATCAATTGGTGTATCCCATCAGCAACCTGCCCTTGGCTCTGTACTACATCCTGGCAATTGTTTTCACGATCCTAGTCACACCTCTCGATATGATCGCCACGCGTTTGGCGGTACAAGGGAGTTGTGCCATGGGAGAAGCCGAAGAAAGTTCTCCGGTACTAGGGGAGACGGTCGTTAAGCTAAGGGATGAACAAGTTGAGGTCCCTTATACTGGAGTGGTAGATTGTGCAACACGAATCTGGGATGAAGAGGGATGGCCGGTTCTATATCGCGGATGGTGGTTCACTCTTCTCACTGTTGCTATTTTTTCTAATGCATATTGGGTATAACTCTGTATCACAATGTTTGATACAAACCTCATACATTGATATCATCTACAATGCAAGGGTCGTGTTCAGAATGTCTCCAAATTCCCAACCAGTGATTGAAACAGCCGATCACTTGTTAAAACTATGATCGAATGACTGAACCTTGATTCTCTTCCGTCCCCATCGTCTACCTTTCATCGGCTCGTCCGCTGTGCAGGGCAAATGAATGTTCATGGAATCAAAAAGTCCGACCTGCCTGGTTCGAATAGGCGACCTCAAGATTTGATTACGTAATCATTTTTGTCATCCATTACAGTCTCGCGCTCTTCCAACTGAGCTAAGGTCGGATGATGGCCATGTGAAAGTAACTCCTTTCGAAGAGCAACGATTTTTGGAAATGTGGTGCTGAGAGTGGGTATGCTGGTGCAGGTTCTGATATCGATAGTAGGGGCAAGTAGTACAGAAGCACCAAACTGTGATGATGTTAGTGAATGTCTCTTGCTCATCCAAACAACGCACCAAGCGAGAGAGACAGGTAATGATTCTTGTGGTGACAGTTCTTCTATGCTCGTTGTAGAATTGGTTTCGGACGCCGGTCCTCGATTCTTCGTCTCCGACAAGTGCCAATTCTCTGAGAGTATAGATGTGGACATGTAGACGACGTAGCCCTTCTGCTTCAAGCTGATTGAGGAGATGGCGCTCACACTCCAGGAGGCACTCGTTAAAATCTTTGTTTTTGTTGATGTCGGTAAGAGTTTTGCAAGCGGCTCCAGGTGTACTTTCCAGGACGACTCCTGTCGGGATCAAATATGGCTTTCTGGGAGCAAGGTGAGAAGGCGCGACAAAGATGAACAGGTCCACGCACAATCTGGTCCACGCTGGCATAGGCGTAACTCTAACCAACCGAATGAAAAACTCCATCTCCCGTCTCTTGTATTTTGGGCGTTTCCCGGGGCAAAGATTGACCATCAGCAAATCCAGAGTGATGAGACCGTCCTCGACATGAGCCATGATTTCGTTGATAGGATCTTCCAGCTGTCCAGCATTGTTCTAGGGGAAAGGACGTCAGTCAAAGGTCAGCATATATAGGGCAGAACAAACCAGAGTAGATGAAGCAGCTTCCTTGTTGTGTGTCACGGCAGCAGTGAGGTTCTTGTCGGCAAAGAAGAGGATAGACCGCCAATTTCTGGTGTATCAATCATAGCTTTTGGGCGAGAGTACGGCAGGAGGCTTAAAAGTGCGAAGCTTCTCTGAATTCGTCGATTTCATCCAAGGTGGTGCACAGAAAGCGGCACACGTGATATATGCGTCGTAACTGATTACAGTCTGACTTCCAGCTGAGCTAAGGTCGGTTACAAAGTAATTATAGACCTACTTATATAGCTCTCATATTCTTTAGAAATGATCTATTCCTTATCGCGTTTTTCCCAAGTTCTCCCAGAACGAAGCTTCCTGGGCACCGCCGGCGCTAAAGAGGCCGAACCTATCTCTTCCCTATGAATGCACTCACTCTTTCAAAGTCAAAGCCGCACTGATAACATACAAGGCATTGTTTGGAAACCAAGGACAACGTCATCCCTCGCCGTCCATCCTGTACTGAAGCATTGCTATGCACAGAAGTTTTCGGTGCGTCGCAACCCCGGGTTTTCCTATCCATCAATAGCTTCTGACGCACCATGCGGTCTATCGGCCTAGTTGGCCATACCTACTTATTGGTTGCATGACGCGAAGCAGCATACAGCGTTCTCGCGCTCTTGTCCCCATGTCTACGCAATTCTTCCCCCTCATCTCATTGTTGTTTCTGCTCTTATGCCTCAACGCGAACGCAACTCCAACCTCAGTGGGAACGGAATTTGCCCTTCACAAACGCTTCAATTCTAGAATTCTTGGGGATGTTCAGCTCCGTTTCGTGGAAGATTCAGGCATCTGTGAAACAACCGCTGGCGTACATCAAGTTTCCGGATACATCGACGTTGGAAAGAACATGTCAATGGTCTGTCCCCTTTTTTTCCCTTCTGAATTATATGCTGAGATCCATAACAGTGGTTCTGGTTTTTCGAGGCTCGAGAGTCGCCGGAAACAGCACCGTTTACCTTATGGTCAGTCGACGAAGCATGTGTACTTTGGGCAGCATTTCAAATTCACCAACAGGCTAAACGGCGGCCCAGGATGCTCGTCAATGATTGGCCTTTTCCAAGGTATAGTACAGGTCCGTCATCGTTTGGATGAACATTTCACAGTATCCCACCTCAGAGCATGGGCCCTGCCTTGTAAACCCTGATGGCGCGACCACTGTCCTTAACCCATTCAGGTTTTTATTTCCCTCGCTTTTCGCTATTTATATTCATGTTGCATCCGGCAGTTGGAACAATCTTAGCAATAGTAAACACGCTCTCACGTTATATATTCAGACTTCTCTTACACGCGTTTTAGTGATCTATATCGATCAACCCATCGGGACCGGTTTCTCTTTTGGAACTGACACCGTTAACAGCACATTGTCGGCCTCCCCATTCGTTTGGACAGCATTCCAGATTTTATTCGAGAGTGGACAGTTTTCGAAATTCAAAAGCAGAGAGTAAGGCTCATTATGACGGTTCTAATTCAGGTTTATTTTACTCTCCCTAGATTCATCTTTGCTACCGAAAGCTACGGCGGTCATTATGGGCCAGCTTTTGTAACCTACTTCAATCAGCAGAACGCTTTGATTCAGGAAGGCGCAATTGAAGGGGTCGAGATCGTTGTCAGCGCCTTGATGATCAACAAGTAAGCTTCATGTATCTGATTTCAGAGTATCACTCAGATCTCTTCGTAGTGGTTGGTATGACCCACTTATTCAGAATAAGGCCTACCTAGATTTTGCTACGGACGCTCCCGGTTATGGGCAGCTGCAAAGCGATAAAGTGCTCGCAGCGATGAATACAGCGTACTTCAAGAAGGGCGGGTGCTTGGAGCAAGAGCAAGAATGCTACGCAGCGGGAAATTCAAGCAGTTCCGACAGGATCTGCCGCACTGCTGATAATTTTTGTGTAAGTGATTGTCGCCAGTCCAGCTTGCCCTTCCATTGGTTCACAATAGACACTTAGGTTGAGAACCTTTTCGTTCCCGCAGTTGGTGACCGCGACTCCGATGATCTCAGGCAGAATTCCTCTGCTTTATTCCCTCCGAGCTTTTATATCGACTTCTTAAGCAACGCAACGGTCAAGAAAAGGATTGGGGCCACGAGCGACTACTCCGAATGCCCTGATGCTCCTTTCGAGCTGTTCGTCCGAACAGGAGATGTGAGTTACAGCATTTTGAGCGTGGACGGTAGTACACATAAGTATCTCTGTAGGACGCAAGAACGCTTCTGCCTCAGTTGGCTGCATTGGCAGACTCGGGACTCAACATGTTGATCTGGGCAGGTGACGCTGATATCAAGTATGTAGTCATTTAGGTTTTCTTGCTTGACCAGAGGAAGTGATATCCTTTCAGCTGCAACTGGCTGGGAGGACATGCGTCTGTCCTCGCTATGGACTGGTCTGGAAAGGAAGCCCTAGCAAGCACGCCTTTCACCAATATGACCATTGGCGGTACCGCAGTTGCTGCAATCCAGAACGTTGGGAATTTCTCTTTCGCGTAAGTGTCTAGTTATTCATATTTTCCTGTCTGATCGGTATGTGTTATCGCGTGAAGACGGGTTTTTGCGGCAGGACATGAAGTTGTATGACATCTTTCGTTCATTGTGCAACGCGCTTTCTGACGACATTTTACTTAGCCCGCTTTTCAGCCTGCAGCATCCTTGGAGATATTTCGTCAGGTAATCAACAAGGAGCCTTTACACTCGATTTAAATTGTAGCTATAATCAATGCTTGAGAACTGGATTGCATGTAATTGACTGCTCGAGTCAAGAGATGTCTACGTGTAATGCCTTCGACGACATCTCATACGATCTCAGATTCAACTTGACTTAATTTTGTCTCCACTTCGCCAAAGCCGGGGCTGTGTCACCGGTTTTCAGAAGCAGTTTGCTACCGACTCCTTGCGACACGAGGCTCTCTGTGTGCGGAACGAGTTGAATGCTAGTATCATCATCGAAACAGAGGTAGAATACTCGGAGTCGAGCTCAATATCCTGGTCAACAGGTATTTGGATGACTCGACAGCGAGTCAGAGGATAACAACTCTACACACAACCCACACAAGAAGTCTAATCCATCGCCCATATTTATAACCTGATATCTTTTGATTAGACACGGAATGAATTGTGGGATGACCGCGAATCTCAACAGCTTGTTCTCCATGAGTTTGACCTACCTCCACTTACCGTCGGGTGATGCGATTTGCAAGCTATCTGAGACCACAGGACGGTTAACAACCGATATCTAGGGTATGAGGTTTGCGTGATGAAAGATGAAGACGAATTGACCCAACACCGATGTCCTGCCCCGAAACGGCCCTGCGATATTACTTGTCCGGAAACAACTTGATTAAGAAGAATTTAGGGAAAGGAAATACGCGCTACTCCAGGAGCAGAAGCTCCGGGTATTGAATACTACGAAACAATACTAGCTGCATGTGGTTCCGGTTCTTGGGTCAGGACAAGAAACGCCTGTCCTTTCGACTCGGACTCGGCGAAAGCACTAGTTGCCGATATTCCATTCATAGCTGTAAGACGCTCCACTAGATAAAGGAAGACCGAAAAGCCAGGGAAAGTAGTACACAAGAGCGAACGCAAGTATACAAAATTTACCTACTAAGTATACAGTGACATACGCGAGACTGGCTGACCCTTATGGGACGGACGATCGGTCTCTCATCAGCCTTTTCTTATTTCTCATTCACCCTTGCTTGTTGATCCTTTTTCTTTGGACAAATGTCCACAGATACAAGAGATGCTGTCGTCCTTCCCAGATATTACTAGGCCGTATTTATTTTAGTAGTGATTTAGTACGTGGTTAGTGCTGTTTAGCGACAAAGTATAGAATACTACTAGCCAGGAGTTAGAATCGGATGTGGGTCGCCACATAATTAGTGTGGACACCTTCGGGCTCTCGACCCTCCGGAAGACTCGCCTAGGTCACTCGGCGCACTTTGGCTGAAGTTTCAGCGTTCATGCATCCATGGGCTAGCCTTTCCTGCGCTATCCGAAAGCCCCGAATTACATCTCTGGAAACTCAATATACCATTCGTGTCGCAGTATTCCTTTCATAGTTAGCCGATTCAGTGATAAAAGGGTGGGTCTGCTGAACATCGCTAATTAGTCGGAGGACAGCCATCCGAGTACATCTACGTTCGCACTTTCTGCTACTTGCTTCATCAGCTACCGTCTTGACAAAGAACTTCGCCATTTGCTGTATATACTTGT